ATCACTCTTGGTGAGAAGGAGCAGACGAGTACACTCAGTCGATTCATCCCGTGCCCCCACTCAGTTGCCTTAGCCCCAGAACCCACTGTCCATCATCATTCACTGTTTTTCAGGTCTTCCTTTTCGGTTATGTGACCGAATATTTTCATTTCTACTCAAAAACCCTTTACGCCTTCCTATGGATTTCAGGCGGTCTATTTCAGTCAGTTGCATGGCCAACAGAAGTTTGTTATGCACTGTCTTTCATCTGATTTTGGTTATTCGTTTACAAAAAGTGGCTTTTTCAGATTTGTATAGTAGGCAACTGGTTTGGTCACTGTTCCCGAGGTGCTGTCATGGGTGTATGGTCAGCATGCGCAAGTGTTGGAAATATTATTGGCACCATGATCTCTTCCAAACTCGTTCTAATGGGATATCAGGTACTAGTTACAGTATTGTCCAAGTGCGACTGTCGATAAATCTTGGCATATTTCTCAGTACTGTCAGGAGATTGATTTAGCTCGACACCAAGATTGTTAAGAAGTCTTTATTCGGCTGACGTTTCGGCGTCGTCGCCGTCTTCAGAGCCTGGAAAGCCGGAAGACATTTTCGAAACTACTCATCCAACACTATTTCAACCTACAGGAAAAGTTCAAAAGGGGTTGTAAGCTACTGTGATGATGTCATGGGAACAATAAAAAACTAACCTTTAGGAAGTCGACCAGTGAGGTCCACCTGTTACCCCGTTCTACTAGTAAAGCGGCTTAAATAGGTAGGCCTCCAGGTCACTTTCCTGAGGGACCTCCCGAGGGTTGATCGTGTAGATCAAACTCCTCCAAAGGTCACTCCAGGCCACCCGCACTGCAAAATCCGTGTAACCTCATACTATTGATTACTGTACAAACCCCCGACCCCGCCGCAACGGACCTAGATCAAAACCCGCATAGACTCGCGAAGGGTGGCGACACAGCTTCAAGGGTTTCATCAGGAAGCGAGGATAAGGCCGATTCGGTGGAACGGGCGGTTCGCATAGCACGAGAGAATGGCTACACATTGTCAAAAGTCCCTACCAGAGGCAGAGCAAGGAGGGCCGCACTTGTTGGTCACGAAGAGGAACGAACGAAAGTCCCGTTCTGTGTTCCGTTTATATCAGACGAACTAAGTGCGGCCATACGTTCTTGTGTAAGGAAGGCTGGTCTCCAAGATGTGGTTAGGATTGTAGATATTCCACCTACAAACCTAAAAGGACAATTTAATCGTCTTTACGACCGCCTTTGTACAACTCCTTCCTGCATCATATGTCCGTTCGGAAAGCAAGGGGACTGCATGACATCGGGGGTAGTGTACCTAATCACATGCTGTCTTTGCAAAGAGGAGTATGTCGGTGAAACTGGCAGGCCTCTTTATTCGCATTAAGGAACACCTAGATGGCATGAAAAAGTCCAAAGTTGCTACTCCTCTAGGAGAGCATAGGGTACAGTGTCA